TCGTTCTCCTCCAGCCTTGCAGTCTCCCTCTATCACCTCCTATTAACAGAGCACAATCTGGAGCCAGCTGACAAAACCAAAGCATAGTTTGCAGAGTTCCAGCTCTAGCATCACAAAAGAGAGTAGAAAAGGTAGATTTGGAGCTGAAGGTCAGTAGCCTGATAACTGGCACATTTGCCTTCCAGTCTGCCTTTAGCCAAATGGATCCTTCCGAGAGTGTCATGGTTCTGGGAGAACCCAAGAACCTCCTAAAATAGTTTTATTTCTGTGGTTTTAAAGAAGGAGAGGAGCAGAAAGTTGTCTTCCTTTACTCTGTGTTGAGTTGGACTGGAAAGGTTTGACATTAGAAGCAGCTATCCCATAATGTCCAAACTCAGTCTGTCTTTAACCCACATCCTCCACAAAGATCCTAAGGGAAAATGGATCCCTGTAATAAAAATTGAAGGAGAAAAATTCCAGCTTTTCTCTAAGCTTGCTCCTTTATACTTTTACTGTTCCTCCAACAGTCATAAAATATTTCTCATCTTAATCTGATGTCATTTTTCATTTATGGTGCAACATCTTTGTTAAGGGCCTGAAGGACTGAATATAGAATGCTGGTACAGTGAGTTAAACTGGCAAATATTGCCATTGAGAGACTTATAAAGGAATAACTGAGATAATAAAGGTTAGAATAGTATAGCAAAACAATTTCAATCTTGAAAATGCTGGAGGATGTATCTGGGGAAAAAATGAAGTATGGATAATATACCAGGATGAATTAGTAAGACAAAGGAGCTGTTTGGCATAAAATACATAAATTAGGTAGATGTTTATAATGGAAAAATGTAATCTGATTACTTGTGGGTTTATAGAATAGTAATGGTTCCTTCTGAATGTTTTAGGAAGATCATTATGTATGTCTTGTGATCTATATGCCTTCATTCTATCCCTTTTATGAGTCAATTTTCTATGAAATTTTTATCATGATGAAATGATTCTTTTTAAAAGATACTTTCCTCATTTTCCCCTCTGACTCTTCTCTTTTTCCTCATAATCTTCTTCAACCCCCAAGTCTTCGTTTTCATAGTCATACCTGTTCCTACAAAATCTCCTCATTGGTCCTTATATCTTTTCCCTATATTAAGTCATTATTTATTAAGAGAGACAGCAGTTATTGTGGAAAGATTTCTAGGACAGAGTCAGCTCTTGACTTTGCTGAAGTTCTATATTAACATTTAAAAAGTCAAAATCTCTGAGCTTAAGTTCTCTCTTTTGTAAAATGAAGAAGTTAGACTTCATAATTCTTAAGATTGCTTGAATTTCTAACATTGTGTTATTCTGAAGCTTTGAGGGAATTTTTTAGGATTAAGACTACTGGCCTAACAAATACTGCTCACATGAAGAAAAAAAAATCTTTTTCAATTAGGCAAACTCCATAGAAAAAAATGACTGTTATTTAAATAATGAGCAAGACTCTTCCAAAATGAGGAATTTTTGTGATTTTTTTTAATACCCAATGATTCCACATTCTGAGATTATAGTGGATTCTTTGTCTAGTGCAGAAATTTAAAATAAGGTACAATAAGCCAGGCGTCATAGCTCATGCCTGTAATCCCAGCACTTTTGGAGGCCGAGGCGGGAGGATTGTTTAAATCCAGGAGTTTGAGCCCAGCCTAGGCAATATAGTGAGACTTGATCTCTACAAATATTAAAAAAATTAGCTGGGTGTGATGGCATGTGCCTATAGTCCCAGCTACTCAGGAGGCTGAGTCAGAAGAATTGCCTGTGTCTAGGAGGTTGAGGCTGCAGTGAGTCGTGATTATGTCACTGCACTCCAACTTAGATAATGGAGTGAAACCCTGGCTCAAATATACATGCATACATACATATACATATATATTTATATATATATGTTTATATGTATGTATATATATATAATAATAAATAAGAAAGTACAATAGTGGCGATCTGTTGGTGTAAAGTGAAAATGGAGGCCTGGTGGTGTACTTCTGTAGTCCCAGTTATGCAGGAGGCCAAAATGGGAAGACCACTTGAGCCCAGGAATTCGAGGCTGCAGTAAGCTATGATTGCACCACTGCATTGCAGCCTGGGCAACAGTGAGGCCCCATCTCGAAAAATCAAAAATCAAAAACCGATATTATTAAAGTGAAAAGAGACAAAATGAATAGATCTCTAACTGTGGAATTTTTGGAATTACAAGTCCTTTTTACATGAGGGCGTAGAGCTGCAGGTGAAGGATTCCTTGGGGTAAAATCTGGATGCTAAGGAGAGGCTGAAAGTATAAGAAATAGCTCCAAATCAGTTTAGGGCTAAAGTAGTAGACAGAAAATGGAAATGAAAGGCCTGAAAGCTCTGTTTAAAGTAGCAATTAGGCCACAACATCTGTCATTCTATTGATCCCTTAGATTGATTCCATTTATCTGGTGGGCCAGGCCAGTGTCCCCTGACTACTTCACCTCTCTCCATGCATGTTTGGAAACGGTATTCTTCTACATGAAAGACCTTGTTTCCAGTCAAGCTGCCCTCCCCTGCTAGGACCCTAGCCCCTCTGCAAAGAGAGTAGTGGTGATATTTTTCTGTCTTCTTTTTCTATGAGAAATAGATGGGTCTTATGGATTTTAGTGAAGCACTCATTCATTGATTCATTTGGCCATTCACTAAATATTTATTGAGCATCTTTCATAGACTAGGCACCATGACAAGTGCTGGTGAAATAGCCATGGACGAGGCAGACATGCTCCTGGCCTCATGGAGCTTATAGTCTCTTCCATTTTAGATTTCTAATCCTCACTGGTTTTCTGTCCACTTCTCTCCCCTTTCCTAGAGTTCCCAAGCCTCCAAAAGATTAGATCCTTCTGGTATATGTAATCACTGAAGCTTTTTCTTTTTTGACAGATTAAAAATTATGTAGAAAATCTTAGAAGCAAGATTTACAGGGTTTTATTGGCTCTGATGTACTTCAAATGATTCTTAAGATCGTCCACTGAACTTTTCTTAGGAGATTCCTTTGAGCAAAGCTTTTGTTTGGTGGAGTGTATGGTTTTCAGTATCCTTTTATGTGGTTGCATTGTGTCACCTCCTCCTCTCACCTCCAATGTACTTGTTTTCTTTGTGAAATTGCCTTGCTTTTGCATTTCTTTTCTAATATTCTGTGTAAGAGGGAGACCTGGGGTTATGGGAGAACTATTTCATGTTACTGTATAACTCAAGGAAAAGGCAAGAGAGGAAGCTAAGTGTGTCTTGTATTTGTAGTGAGGCAAGTATTATTTTTCGTAGCATAATGCCTTCTTTATTGAGATCTGATAAAGTAATCTGCAAGTTGCAAGACCTTAAGTATTTTGTTGACTTATTGTTCCCACAATCTGTTTTTATCTTCTTGATTAATACATTACAGGTCACTCTGGATCAAGCTCAAATTCTTTCAAGGATTTAAAGCTATTTTTGTAATTGAAGGCATGTATAGCTTCTTTTGAAGTTCAATGTTTGGCAGTGTTCTGTTGTAAGTCTCCCAGAAATGTGAGCATATTGTCATTTCAAAATGGCCTCTTTCAGAGCCTTGGCTGCTGCAGAAATTCAGTTTATGAATCACTTGAATGAATGCTAATCCTTAGCAGTCTGAAAAAAATTTGTGTGGTTTTTTTCCTATATGATTGAGCATCCAAGGATGCCAGGTGGTAATATGTGGATTTAAAACATACCATAACGTGTTATGCTCTAACTCTTTTAAAAATGTCACAGAGTTCAGACTCTAACATAGTATACTAAAAAAACTCTATTTCAAAAGTAGTTCATTTTCTAATTAGCTATTGAGATTGTATTTTATAGTATTGCAGATGCCCTTTGAGATGTCTGTTCTCCTTGATGTTTCAATCTTGTGTTAGGATGTGGTCCTTTCTAAATTTCCTAAGACAATAGGTTACCTTGAAAGGGCTTTCTGTGCCTATAGTTGAGACTGGCACAGAAAAGGATTAGGCAGACCCATTTAGAAATCCCCTTCCAGATCAAGATTCTTTTTCTCAGACTTTTGTAATAAATATACACTTCTGGTAAATTAACACTTGATTTGGAAACCAGGCCTCCACTCTTTACTCAGTCAGCCTTAGGGCTCTGAAAAACAGCATTTGTGTGTATATATGTCTTTGTATTATGAAAATGTTCAAACATATATGAAAGTAATATGAACAATATGATCTTTCATACCATTACATGCATCAATTATCAACATTTTGCTACTCTTGTTTCATTTACTACTTCATTCTTTTTGTTGTGATTGTTGATACAGTTTTTGAAGTAGGTAATCTCACCTATCATTCTTTACCCATAAACCCTTTAGTGCATTTCTTAGATTTTTTGATGGAAAGTAAAAATTTGAGACTTGTAATTGTTAAATCTCCTTTATTTTTCCTTTGTGTCTTGAAATTAGTGTGGGTTCTATCTTTGTTCCATGCTAAGTTTAGTCTTCCTAGGTTTATTTTTGTTTTTTTTAACTGCCTTCAAAACCTTGTTTTATTCTTATCATAGCCAACAGTCATTATACTCGTTCAAGTGTACAGAGAACGTGGCAACTACGTAAATTATGTGTATTGATAAGCAATTTAAAAACTATGTTTTCATAGAGGATTTTTATTTCTTGGTAGTCAGATCATTAGCATAAAATTTTTACTTTGGGCATAAATCACCACTCTCCTATTACAGGCTCTGTGAATTTATACATAGGAATGGAGTGAGTATTTTGAGTATAGGTTAATAAAAGGAAACTGGGTCATTGGGGTAGACCTAGGCAAACATTTTTTGGATTTTATCAGAGTTAAGAATTATTCTACTTGATAAGGTAGTTTCAGGCATGTTTATGCTCTAAAACTAGGACAAATTGGCTAGCTTTAAAAGCATAAGTAGAAGAAGTTAGGAAAATTTTGATTGTTTCTTCTTTACTTCTATTGCTTTTATGCTTTTATAATTTCTCAGAGACTCTGACTCAGTGACTAATATCTTTTCAGCGGAACTTCCACCTCCCTATACGGCCATTGTCAGTCCAGATGCCAGTGGTATTCCAGTAATAAACTGCCGTGTGTGCCAGTCTCTAATCAATTTGGATGGCAAGCTTCACCAGCATGTGGTTAAGTGCACGGTTTGCAATGAAGCTACGGTAAGTGGAGATTTCCATTAATAAAAGCATAAATTGTTATGTGACATTTTATTCCTAAAGGAAGTACTTCAGTAATTTACTTAAAAGTATGCATGGGCTGTATACAAATATGGAAATCATTTTTCATCCTTTCTTCTGTTTCTCTTTCATCGTACAAGGATGGCTCCATGTGTTTAAAGCTAAACCCATTAAGATAATTTCATGTTTGAATTTAAATTTAATGCCATTTGACTTTTCAATTTCTAAAATAAGACTGAGCAATGATAGTTATTTATAAATCTCTTCAGTATCCACATCACAACTAAATCCATTCCAGTTTTCATGAAAATGAAAATACTGTATATGAAACTTTACTACAAATGTGATCTTTGTTGTCATTATGGGGAAAATTATTTTAACTTATTTTATGTTTATAGTATGTCAGTATTGTTTTCCTGGGCTTTTGTAATTATGCATTTACTATTGTGTGCCAAAGTATTTGTAAATAGTTTGGCATTTTATTCTATTTATTTGTTATCAATTTAGTGAAATATTAAAAGAAAATTGAAGGACACTTTTGTTTTAACTGAACTTTGGGGAACAAAAAAAATTTGTTTTTTTTTTTGAGTTGGAGTTGCACTTCATCGCCCAGGCCAGAGTGCAGTGGCACACTCATGGCCACCCCAGCATCGACCGGCTGGGCGCCGGCGATGCTTCTGCCGCAGCCTTCCAAGTAGCCAGAACTACAGGCTACCATGTCTGGCTAATTTTTTATTTATTGTAGAGACGAGGTGTCACCAACATGCCCGGGCTGGTCTCGAACCTGCAGGCTCAGGCAATTCACTTGCCTCAGCCTCTCAAAGTGCTGGGATAAAAGGCTGAGCCACCAAGCCCGGCCAGCAAAAAAGTTTTAAGCAAAATTTGTGTTGTTTCCAGTAAGAAATTTGTAAAGCGTATGCTGTTTTAGATGAAATATGTTTCTACTTTCATAGTTAGGCTTTGTTAAATTTGGATCTCTCAAAATCTGCAGTTAAATATTAGTTTAATTTTTGGTATTTGTATTTTTTCCTCTTTAGAAAAAAATTCATAAAAAGTCAGCCAGTGATTGTTATGTCTTAAAGAACCATAAAACATGGGTATTTGGCTTTATATGTTCTACAGAAAAGTCATAAAATAAAACCTTAAGTTATGAAGCAATGTATCTCATTGTAAATTTTTTTTCTTTATAGAGGGACATCATTTGGAAAACACCATTATGGTAGAAATAGATGATACCTACGAACCAGCTATTTTTGTTGTTGTTGTTGTTGTTTTTGAGTTGGAGTCTCACTCTGTCACCCAGACTGGAGTGCAGTGGCTGTTGTCAGCCACTGCCGCCTCGACCTGCTGGGCTCCGGCGATCCTTTGGCCTCAGTCTTCCAAGGAGCTGGAACTACAGGCATGTGCTACCATGCCCGGCTAATTTTTGATTTATTATAGAGATGAAGTCTTGCCAAGTTGCCCATGTGGGTCTCAAACCCACAGGCTCAGGCAGTCCACTCACCTCGGCCTCCCAAAGCACTGGGATTACAGACTGAACCACCAAGCCCGGCCAAAACCAGCTATTTTTTTAAGTTGAACGCTGACTAGTGAATTTAGTTAGTATCAACTTTTTTAGTGACCTGTATAGAGTTGGCAAGCAAATAAGAGTTGTTAGAAATACATAGCAATTAAAAAACCCAGTTCCTTAAAGGTTTCCTTATATTTGATAATAGTGTTAATTTCTTCTCCTATTCTTCCACTATTCTTGTTCTTTAATGAATTGAATTTTGTCAATTATTTAGGAATCTCAAAGTCCCAGTAGATTTAGCAAAACAGAGTCAAGCTGACTACTTAGAAGTGAGGAATTATATGGGATCAATGAGGTTTGGCTATATGTGTACTACTTCTGGGCACAAGGGGATTTATGCTGAAATTTTTACATAATTACTGCCTCTGTGGAGTAAAGAAATGTCAATAATTTTAGAAAAAATAAATAGTATGTAATCAGATTGCCTTGTATGAAATCAGTAATATTACAATAGAGAAAAAAAGTGAGAGAAAAAGCTGTTGTGAAGTGTTTTAATGTACAACTTGCTAATGCTTACACATGTAATTGATTTTAAATGTATGAAAGAGCAAGTGTTAGACAACTAGGAGCTTTTTTGGAGGAATTCTAGATTGAAACAACAGCTATAATGGGCTCGGATCCAACAGAACAGTTCTCTCATGCCTAATGTCTCTGTCCCCTATTCTATTTTGGTGTGTTTCATTTTCATCTTATTACCAAAACAAAGTATCACTGTGTCTACCCTCCTGGGCAGCCACTCTGATAGGAACATGATATACCCATGGAGATTAAAAAACAAGACAAAACAAGCAAAAAACCCCAAAGTTAATAAAAGTCCTTTTTATTCAGTAGATAGAACTGGGAAGGTATATGGTTGATGTGTGTGTGTGTGTGTGTAAGTGTGTGTAAGAGAAAGAATATGGGCGCCTGTAATTCTGGCTACTTGGAAGTCTGAGGCAGAAGAATCGCCAGAGCCCAGCAGATTGATGCTGGGGTGGCTGTGAGTGTGCCACTGCACTCCAGCCTGGGTAACAGAGTGAGGCTTCAACTAAAAGAGAGAGAGAGAGAGAGAGAGAGAGAGAGAATATGGAAATGTGTTAGCAAGACTTGGAGAATACAGAATTGAAGGTTAAAGGATAAATGATTTCTAGGGTAAGTTAATGGAAAAATTGAGAAACTCTAGAAAGGGTTATACAAGTTGACTACATATCTGATTAGGAACCAGAGATTCCAAGGCTGACAGACTGGTATGAATCCTAGCTCTGCCATTTAGCAACTACATCTTCTTGAGGACTTGACTTTTCTAAATATGTGTGTCCTCATGTAAAGTGGTATAATAATAATACCTCATAAAGTTGCATTTGGAATTACAGGGATAAGGTGCCCAGCACAGTGCCTGGGGTATGCAAGTTTATTATACTAAATTAGAATTTTAAAATATATGCATATGGACAGTATCCAATGACCTTTTGTTTTTTTCTTAGTTCATTGCATTCCAGACATGACATGGTAGGGGTTGGTACTGAGGACCAGTGCTTAAAACCTTCTAATTAAATTGCCTTGTTTTCCAAATGAGAAAACTGAGGTCTAGGAGTGAGGAGGGACGAAAATAAAATTTTAAAAATACCCTGTCAATTGTCAAGTACACATTTACTTAATGTTAACATTTGAATATTCAGAAATTAACCCAAATTCTGTTTTTCTTGATACTTTAGATACTCTAGGTATGTAATCTAGATGTTTGTGAATTTCCTATATTCAAATTTAGTTATCTATAATATAGTTTATTGAAACATGGGTGACTTTTTGCTAACTTTTATACATTTCTACCAAAATTATTAACATTTAAAAAAATTTAAATTATTACACACACAGAAAATTTACAAATCTAACAGTATATAGTAGAAAGAATTCCTTGTGTCCTTCACCCACATTCCCCAATTGTTAAAATTTTACTACGCCAGCTTTCCCTCTCTAAATAAATTATCTTTTTCCAGGAACTTTTATAATAATTGAAGACATGGTGCTTTTTTGCTCCTAAACATTTTAATGTAAATTTCTTTTCTTTTTTTTTTTTTTTTTTTTTTGAGTTGGCGTCTCACTCTGTCGCCCAGACTGGAGTGCAGTGGCCGCTTCCGGCCACCCCAGCCTCAACCTGTTGGGCTCCAGCGATCCTTCTACCTCAGCCTTCCGAGTAGCCAGAATTACAGGCATGCGCTACCACACCCGGCTGATTTTTTGATTTATTGTAGAGATGAGGTCTCGCTGCCCAGGCGGGTCTTGAACCCGCGGGCTCAGGCAGTCCACTCACCTCAGCCTCCCAAAGGCATGGGATTACAGGTTGAGCCACCGAGCCCGGCTATGTAAATTTCTTAAAGACAAGTTCATTCACTTATACAGTCAAACTACAATGATCAGATGCAGGAAATTCACACTGATCTAATAGTGTTATCTAATCTTTTGAAATAATTTGCATTTCTCTAATTGTTCCATTATTGTATTTTATGAAAAAAAATTCTAGTTCTGGAGTCAAACCAGCATCATATGTTACATTTGATTGTCATGTCTCTTTAATGTTCCTTTATCTGTAACTTCTTCTTTGTCTTCAGATTTTTGAAGACTACAGACAAAAATTTCCTCAATTTTGATTTGTCTGAAATTTCCTGATTAGCTTTAGGTCACACATTTTTGTCAGAAATGCCATAGGTGTGATGGTCTGCATCTTTCAGTGCATCATAGATTATTTAGTTTAACAAGCTGCAGTCCTAGTATTTCAAAGAGGCTTTCCCTTAGTATTATTTATTATTTTTAAATTCACCGTAAAGTTCTTTAAAAAAAAAAAAAAGAATTGCTACTATTAAGAGCTATCAAAAGTTTTAAGAATTAAAATATGTCACAAAATTAATTACTTCTTATATTCTATTAAATAAAGTTTAATAAAAGTTCAAATTTATAATGCTTTCCTCTTTCTCCACTATTCTTCTTATTGAACTCACTCTTCCTGGACAGGTGCGTGAGTCCTCTGTGGATGTTTGCACCTGGCCAGACAGCTAGATGATCTTGTCTTGTGAACTTTAAAGACAAAGCAACTCTTGGTGTGCACTAAATATTCCTTCCATATTAAAAGGGCTAGTACAAACTAATTTTGAAATATACCCTTAATAATTAAATCTCTACAGCTCCCAAAATTTTATATAGTGCTTACCAACATTTATGCTATTTGAAACTATTTACAATGTACTTTTCCTTAAACTGTACTTTGGTAGCACTATGAGGAGCCTGTGTTTTTTAAACACAAACAAGCTTTGACAATCTGTATTTTGGTTAATTTGCTGTATTTGCATTTTCTTCCCTTATCTAGCCTATCAAAAACCCCCCAACAGGGAAGAAATATGTTAGATGCCCTTGTAATTGTCTCCTCATTTGTAAGGACACATCTCGGCGAATAGGATGCCCGAGACCCAACTGGTAAGAGATAAAGATTCATTCATTCATTCATTTGCTTATTCAACAAGTATTTATTAAAGGCTCATTTTTATGCCAGGCCTTGTTCTAGACAGAGTCTGTGTCCTCAAAGTAACTCCAGAACCTAAATTATTTTTTTGTTAAAAGAATGATATGCTTAGTTTGAACTTCACAGCCATAGATATTTGTAGGATATAATATTCTCAGATGAGAAATGAATATTTTCTTTATGTTATGTAACTACTTAATGCACTGTAATAAATCAATACATACAATAGTGTAATAAATCAGTGACTTATTGAACTTATTTAAAAATAGCCAGATGATTTACTTTTGATATAGTTAATTTTAACCTGCAGTGTTTTAATTGCTAATGTGTATCTCACTGTATGCTGTGCTAATCTCTGCTGAACATAATATACATGTTAAATTCTGGAATTATTTGCCCATACCCAATGCCATTATTGATGTGCCAAGATACAGTATTCAAAAACTGTAATTTAAAAAATTTTTCTGTTATGTCTCTGGTTTCTTGACCATTACATAAATCATTTACAGCCCTGTCCGATGGTAGACTGGAGAAGAGAAAGGAAAGGAGGCTCTTGTTTGCTTTCTTTCCATCTCTGATTAAATAGGCATCAAGGAATACCAAACTGCTCAGAGAAATTTGGTTATAACCAGCACTTTGGTACTTTCATGCACACACATTTTCGTGATCTAGAATATTTTTAACTCATTCAGTCTTCTACTAAACTCAAGTTGTCTTCCTAGATAGGGAATGGTAAGAACTGTTTTCTGATTTGAACTGATAAAAATGGCAGTTAAATAGTTCCCAAGTTCCCAAGGTCATTGTTTAGAACCAATGCCATAATATACGGTTTCTATCTCAGATATAAAAAGACTCCTTTTTTTTTTTTGCATTTGAAAGACTGATTATTGCTACTTTCTGTGATTTTGGCTCCAAAGTTTGACAATTAATTCACTTCATTTATGAAACAAGCATAACTTACTTTCACTGACATGTTTCATGTTTTTGACCATATGTAGCAGGTTTTGCTCTCAATACATTTGTGGGATAGTTAAATTGTTTTCTTCCTTTTTCCACAGTAGACGCATAATTAATCTTGGCCCTGTAATGCTTATTTCTGAAGAGCAGCCAGCTCAACCTGCATTGCCAGTCCAACCAGAAGGTACAAGGGTCGTTTGTGGGCACTGTGGAAACACATTCCTGGTAAGCAACTGGACGTTTGTAACAGGCTATCAGTCTGGAAATATAGATCATGATCTAACAGATTTGACCACTTCTCATAGTCTTATAGTTTTGTTTAAGTGCAAATTGATCAAATAAAGTGTTATTTAGGAAGATAATAATCCAGAGTGCAGCTAGGATATACAGCATCTTTTTTATTTTGAGTTGGAGTCTCACTCTGTCACCTAGGCTGGAGTGCAGTGGCACACTCACGGCCACCTCAGCATTGACCAGCTGGGCTCTCGATGGACCAGCTTCATGGCTTCTAGATTCAGGGAAAAATTCTTATTATAATTTATCAAACATTTTCTGACTTTTAATTTGAAATCAAAAAAATCAGCCGGGTGTGGTAGCACATGCCTGTAATTCCGGCTACTTGGAAGGCTGAGGTGGAAGAATCGCCAGAGCCCAGCAGGTCGAGGCTGCGGTGGCCGGGAGTGGCCACTGCACTCCAATCTGGGTGACAGATTGAGGCTCCAACTCAAAAAAATAAAAACAAAAATTATTTTTGGGGTAAAAAAAAAATTAACACTGGTACCCATGATTAGGTAAACTTTAGATTAAAAAATAAGAAAGTATAAGTAATTTGATATAGCAAAAATTAGAGAAGTTGTTATTTTGTGTCAACTTTAACTTTACTTCAACTTAAAGTCTGATTTTTTTGAAAGTTAATTTCATAATGGATTTATCCAATCAGGAAGGGTAAGAACAGATTTTCTTTTTTCAGCCTATATAGGAGACAAAAGATTTTCTTTAGAACCTGAATATTAAAAATACCTTCCAGAATACAGGCATGGAAGTCTATAAACAAGACCTGCTATCACTAAGAAATGAATAAACTTAAGAAAGTATAAGCAATTTGCTTTTGTTCTTCTAATTTTTATTTTTATTAAGGCAATTTACATATTTAGTTCTAAATGTCAAATGGGATTACAATCTCCTCATCTAGCTGACCCCTAGCTGACCCCAAGCTACCACTCCCCAAATGCTTTGAACTTTTTCAGTTGTTCTGCTCATATTTACTTCCATGTGTTTAATCTGTTTTCTCATTCTTTTTCTTTTTGATTAAGCAATTGAAGACATTACCCAATACCTTGTAAAATGCAAGATGAGAATTTAACACTCATATACCACTCTCCTACTCATATTCCTTTCCCCACTTTCATACTCTCAGTAGAGTTATAAAATTGTGTTTAATTAATACTCAGTGTTTACTTTTTTTATGATTAAGTAAATTATGTTCACAGCTGAACCAAGTAATTTGGCACATTTTTCTCCTTTTAATATTTTCTTGGATAATTAACCCTTCTCTTTGAATTTGTTTAATTTTCTATGTACAACTTATTCATTCTTCCCATATTCTTTTATAGAGCTATAGAATTTGTGTCAATATAGTCAAATGCATCAGGAAATCTATTGTTTAAGCTTCCTGCTGCACAACTGCCAACTATCCCTTCACCATCATCCTGAAAATTCCTTTTGCCTCTTTGCTATGTAGGATCCCATGCCATCCTCACAGTGCCTGGTTTTCATGGAGAACATTTCTACTTGCTAAAAAAAAGATGCTGAGAAATAAATTTAGGCCTTTTTATTTCTTAAGTGGTTTTTAAATCTAATTTCACACTCACTATATAATTTATCCAGATGTACAATTCTGGGTTGCTAGTTGTTTCCTCTCAGAAATGTGAAGGCTTTGCTCCATTGTTGATGAATAGATCAGCTGCTATTTTGATTCCTGATCCTTTTGATAGAATGTATCTTTTCTTCTTTATTTTTCTCTTTCCTCTTCATTATCTCCAGTGTTCTGAAATTTCATGAAAATATGCCTCAGTGAGAGTCTTTTTGAACTCATTGTCAGGATACTCAGTGGGTCTTATTATAGTCCACTCCGTTTTCTTCATTCCCTCTTTCTGGAACTCCTTATATTGAATCACCTGAATTGACTCTCTCTCGTTTTATTACTTTTACATTTTCTTTTTAATTTTGGCTTTTGTTTTACTTACTGAGAAACTTCTTCAGCTATATCTTCTAAGCTTAATTTAAAAATTGAATCTCATATGATCTAATGTAATTTTTAATTTCCAAAGCCTTAATTTGTTTATAGCATCTTTCTGAAGCTATTAATGATTTTTTTCCTGAGGTATTGTTCTTCTCTATGCTTTTTCTCTGTTTTCTACTAAGTTTTTCTATTTGCTTTTCTTTTTTGATAGAATTTTATACAGAAGTTCATTTATATTTGAGAGTAAGTCACTAATTGGAATCTATATGCATGCAGGCAGGAGCTAGATGATAACTCCTTCTTTCTCCCTCTCTTTTTCCCATATTCTCCTTTGTCTCCTTTTCCTCTCCTCCATTTCCCTTTTCTCCTCTTTCTTTGAAAAGCTATCAGCTGTTAGTATCAATTGTTCTTTTTTCTAGGGCAAGTTTCTCTGGGGCAGAATCCTCTAATCTCTTGTGCCTTGTAGTATAATTTGAAGTCAGGTAATGTTATGCCTCCAGATTTGGTTTTTTTGTTTTGTTTTGTTTAGGATTGCTGTGGCTATCTGGGCTTTTTTTTGATGCCATATGAATTTTAGGATTGTGTTTTCTAATTCTGTGAAAAATGACATCGATAATTTGCTAGGAATTGCATCGACTCTTTAGATATCTTTGGATGGTATGGCCATTTTAATAATAATGGTCATTTTGATAATAATGATTCTTCCAAATGAGCATGGGATGTTTTTACATTGTTTTTGTCATATATCATTTATTTCATCAGTGTTTTGTAGTTCTCCTTGTAAAGACCTCTCATCCCCTTGGTTAAATGTATTCCTAGGTATTTTTTTTGTGACTAATGGGATTAAGTTCTTGATTTGGCTCTCAGTTTGAACATTATTGCTGTATAGAAATGCTACTGATTTTTGTATATTGATATTGTATCTTAAAATCTCTCTGAAGTCTTTTATCGAGTCTAAGACTCTTTTGGAGTAGTTAGGGTTTTCTAGATACAAGATGATGTCATCTAACAGAGATACCTTGACTTCTTATTTTCCAATATGCATACCTTTTATTTCTTTCCCATGTTTGGTTGCTCTGTCTATGACTTCCAGTGCTATGTTGAATGAGAATGATAAGAGTGAACATCTTTGTCTTGTTCTACTTCTTAGGGGAAATGCTTTCAACTTTTTTCTAGTATGATATTGACTGTGAGAGTTTGTCATATTGGTATTTATTATTGTGTGTGTTTTTTTAATTTTTGTTTTTGTTTTTTTTGAGTCAGGACGTCACTCTGTTACCCAAGCTGGAATACAGTGGCATGCTCATGGCTCACTGTAGCCTCAACCTCCTGGGTTCAGGCAATCCTTTCACCTCAGCCTCCCGAGTAGCTGGGGCTACAGGTGCGTGTCACCATGCTTGCCTATTTTTTTCAATTTTCTGGAGAGACTAGGTCTTGTTATTTTTCCCAGGCTGGTCTGAAACTCCTGGGCTCAAGTAATCCTCCTGCCTTGACCTCCCAAAGTACTGTAGTTGTGATGGTTTTTATTTTGGGGGGGGTATGTTTCTTCAATGCCTAGTTTTTTGAGGGTTTTTAGCATATAGGAATGTTGGATTTTATTGAATGCTTTTTCTGCATCTATTAATGATTATATTGTTTTTGTTTTTAAATCAGGTTTATGTGGTAAATCACGTTTATTGACTTGTGTATGTTGAACCATCCTTGCATCCCTAGAATAAAAACCACTTGATGGTTAAAATCAAAATTATCTCAAATATGCATTATATTTTTGATGATGTTGTTGGATTTGGTTTGCTATTTTTTGTTGAGAGTTTTTGCATCTAGCTTCATCATGGGTATTGGTACATAGTTTCTTTTTTGGTTGTGTCTTTCCCTGATGTTTGTAGTGGTGTGATACTGGTTTCATAGAATAAGTTAGGAAACAGTCTCTCTTCATCAATTTTTAATTATACTTTCAGTAAGATTGGTACCAGCTCTTCTTTGTATGTCTAGTAAAATTTAACTGTGAATCTGTGGTCCTGTGCTTTTTGAGGGGAGAGATATTTTATTTCTGATAAAATTTTATCATTCATTATTGGTCTTTTCAGAATTTCTATTTCTTCTTGTTTCATTCTTGGGAGGTTGTATTTTTCTAGGAATTTAACCATTTCTTCTAGGTTTTCTAGCTTGTGTGCATAGAAATGTTCATAATGGTCTCTGATTTTTTTTTTTGGTTTTTATATTTTGTATTTCTGTGGTATCAGTTGTAATGTCCCCTCCATCATTTCTGATTGTGCTTACTTGATTCTTCTTTTTTTCTTGGTTAATTTAGCTAGTGGTCTATCAATTTGGTTTATATTGTCAAAGAATCAACTTTTTTTTCATTGATTTTTTTGTTTTTGGGGGGTTTTTTGGTCTTAGTCTTATTTAGTTGTGCTCTGATCTTTGTTATTTCTTCTACTAGCTTTGGGTTTGGTTCTTGTTTTCCTTGAGGTGTAATGTTAGGTTGTTGAAGTAAGATCTTTCTATCTTTTTGATGTAGGCATTTAATGCTATAAACTTTTCTCTTAGCACTAATTTTGCTGTATCCCAGAGATTGTGGTATGTTGTGTCTCTATTTTCATTCATTTCAAAAATTTTTGATTTTGTCTCAATTTGTTATTTACCCAAAGATAATTCGGGAGCAAGTTGTTCAGTTTTCTTGTATTTTTGTAGACTTCAGAGTAATTATTTCTATGTGTATTTCACTGTGGTCTGTGAAGATACTAGATATTATTATTTTTTTTAATTTATTGAAACTTGCTTTATGGCCACAGATATGATATTTTATATTTTGGAGAATGTTCCACATGCAGGTGAAAAAAATGTAAATTTTGTGGTTGTGGGTAGAATGTTCTGTAAATGTCTATGAGGTCCATTTGATCTAGACTTTAGTTTAAGTTCAGAGTTTCTTTGTTGATTTTCTTCTCCAGTAATCTGTCTAGTGCTGTCAGTGGGATATTGAAATTTTTCTCTAGTATTGTATTACTGTCTATCTGTTTTCTTAGATCTAGTAGTATTTGTTTTATGAACCTAAGTGCTCCAGTGTTGGGTGCACATATATTTAGGGTAGTTATATTTTCTTGTTGTCTTATTGAATTGACGTTTTATCATGATATAATGACCTTGTATTCTTTTTTTTAACTGCTGCTGATTTAAAGTAGATTTTTTTGTCTTATATAATTATAGATCCTCATTTTTTCCTGTTTGTATGATATATCTCTTCCTACCTCTTTGAATCTCTGGGTGTCTTCACTCATTAAGTGTGTCTCTTATAGGCAGCAGATCTTTTTTTTTTTTCTTTTTAATCAAATTTTCTAGTCTATGTCTTTTTTTTATTATAAAGATGGAGGGTATAATTCAGGGTTAGGTATACAAACGTTGATTATGCAGGTACCTTTGTTGATGAGGTATACCCCTCCCTCCCCTCTCAGTTTCCCTCAACTGCCAATCCCACTCCCACTCCCCCCCCCGGCAGTTTCCCACTACTGCCAGTTTCTTTCTTATAGCATTATAATTGTTCAAGGTCTGCTTATGGGTGAGAACATATGGAACTCTGTTCTTTGTTTCTGTGATAAATCACTGAGTATGATTGACTTAAATCCATCCAAGTTGTTGCAAAGTCCATATGTTTGTCCTTCTTTATGGCTGTGTAATTTCCCCTCGTGTATATGTACCACATTTTTTTTATCCAGTTCAGTTTTGATGGGAAATACGAGTGAACTAGAAATTGACATTCCATATGACCCAGTTATGTCTTTTAAGTGGAACATTTAGGCCACTTACAGTCGTTTGTTATTGACATTTGAGGTTTTGTTCCTGCCATAATGTTGTTAGCTAGTTGCTTTGTAGTCTTAATTGTATAATAGCATTATGGAATCTGTGAGCTTTGTACTTACAAAAAAAATCACTATATATTTATTTATTTATTTATTTTTATTTTTTGAGTTGGAGTCTCACTCTGTCGCCCAGAC